CACACACACACACACACACTGACAAAAGGCTTTCACGTAAGCGGCTCCCCTTGCAAGCCGGGGAGCGCTCGCTTCCTTCACGCTCCCACTCGCAGGATGCAGAGAAAGTTCAGCTGGCCATTTCCACGGCAGAGAACCTTGTCAACGAGGGCAGTGCCGAAGCCCCAAAACCTGGGAACTTGAATCGCGCCTTCACAGCGTATCCGGGTTCGGAAGGGGGGGAAGGGATGAACCTGGCCTGCCATGGTTCAGTGCGCCAAGGCCCGCGACTGGCTGTTGCGAGCTGGTGGCAGCTTGCCACGACTAGGCCGGCTCACAGCTGACGCCAGGGTTGCAACTTTGGACGATTCATTGGTTCGTATCGAACGTGGTGTGCAAGCCATGCCGGCGAACCGTTTGAGCTCAAACCTTTGTGAGAGGTTTCAGCAGCCTTGCAGCTGCACTCATCGCACGGGAGCAGGAAGCCCCAGTGAGATGGCCAGCAGCTGTAGGTTCAAAAGTCGATGTTCTCCAATGGATCAGAAGCCCGAGGCTTCGCTTGAGTCTCAATCTTGACTTTTGTAGGGCAGTGGAACCGTTCGTACTTGCAAAGTTATTCAAATATTTTTGGGTGTGAAGAGCGCCTCAGGGTGACATGAAGTATTGATGGCATGCTTCACAAATTTAGGGCTCAAGAAGGTGGGTAGAGCTTCGTGATCAGTTTAGCTATCAAAACTTGACACTGTCTGTGTGCGTGTCTTTTTTTTGTTGCATGGCTTGTTCTCGGGCGAGGAGGTTCCCGCCGCCTCCGCGGCATGGCGGTCCAGGGCCGGGTTCTTACGAACTCGAGTCCCAGCCGCTGAGGTGGCGCCGAAGCCCCCAGTGGCTATTTGGGCGACCCAAGGAAAGCCGGCCGCGCAAGAAGCCGGTGCTGACAAAGCCTGGACAAAGCTGCAGGCAAATGGTCTCAACCCAACCTTGCTGACCAGCCATGCAAGGCAAGCGCCCAAGCTGCTCGGCACGGGCAATTTTTGTGAAGTGTGGCTTGTGGATGGCTATGCTCACAAGACGAGCAAATGTGGGGACAGAAATGAAGTTCTAGTTGAGGAACGGATTTTAAAGACACTGAGTCACTGGGTGAGCACCCGAACGTCATCAGCCTGATCCGCTTGCACGGTGACCAGCACCCAATGAATGGGACCATCATCCTAAGCCTTAGGATGATGGTCCCATTCACTGGGTCCTAAGCCTAGTGCTGCAACCCTGCCCGGCGGCACCTGGCAAGCAAGGGCTCCGCAGGAAGCCCCTCAAGCCACAAGGGCAATGACAGACGTCCTACAGGGATTGCAGCACGCGCACCGCTTCAAGATCGCGCACTGCGATTTGAAACCCGAAAATGTACTGTTCGTTTCCCAAGAACTGGGCAGTATAACTGCCCTGTTCTTGGAATCGAACAGTACATTTTCCATAAGTTATTGCCGACTTCGGCACAGCGGTGAATCTGACAGCTGAGAGAGGGGCTCATGCAGCACGACGCGGGGACGTCCGGCACGCCTCGCCTGAGTTTTTTGGCAGGCCAAGAGTTTGACACGTCCACCGACATTTACTCTGCCGGGCAGTCTCTGTGTGATGTCCTTCAGCCACCCAAGGATGCCCCGCTGCTCGACGCAATTTTTTAGCAACCCAATCGACTCAGACGAGATGTCGACCCTGCCTCCTGTGGCCGCCCTAGTCGAGAGGGAGCCATGGCACAGGCCCACAGTAGAGGCCGCAGCGGAGCAGCTGCAGAGCTTAGCTCTGCAGCTGGGCTCCT